GAAATTAGAGGTTACAATAACTAGTGAGGGATGTGTACGGAATATAAACGAGATATCTACCTGTTAGTTATTTTTTAACATTTTTGTATCTTAAATCCTGAACTACAAGACTGTAATAAAACCCAAATTGTTACTTGGATAGGCTTGGATTGGTTTAATACTCTTATGGTAAGCACCAACTGTCAATATCGATACGATCCTAAGCATATAATTGGCAGATCATCATCAATCAGGGCCAATATTAAAAGTTAATACGAGGTGGAATTTACCGCTATTAAATATTCTTTCTTTCTTTCCTTTATTTAACGTCGGTCTCTGTTCCGCAATCTAGTGCCAGGACGGACATCGATTGCCATCCATTGACGGCAATCGAATGTGCAGGATGGCAGCTTCCACACCTGCGTAGGAATTCGCACCCATTCAAACACACATGGGCCGGGACCAACGGCTTTACTTCCCTTCCGAAGGAAGACGTGACCAGAGATTTTTATGCCTCAGAAAAATCCCACCGACCTCGGCTGGGATTGAACCCAGACCCATTGGGGCGAGAAAGCAGTCACGCTTACCACTACACCACTGGCGTCGGCTATTAAAGATTCACAGGAGGAAGAATAATTTCAAGTGTCATGATAAATTAGTTATGTTATCAAACAGAATAATTTAAATAAAAAAGATACCTTCTCTTTAAAACATGGAGTTCATTTTTCAACAGCTCAGCGAAGGGCCATACAAGTCCGTGAATTGAATCGCCTTCTTAAAAAACTTGCAGCATTGATAAATTGCAATTAACAATTACCAAAAACGTTAGTGCCCTGTTTGTACTTGATCGGAGTAAAACATCCATTAAGATAGCCTTGTTACATGTTATAACGCCCTAATCTGAACATAATATAATAAGCCCTAATCTGAACATAATATAATCTCGTCGTGTGTCACTATATGAGAGGCCATAGAATGTTCAGCGTTTTTCTTAATTATGTATCCAACTCCCCTTCCCTAATAAAAAATAACCATAAACGAACGATAACCCAAATCACTGAACTATTCCATAAATGGTTTGGATGATACCCAGAACATGTCGTTAAGCAAATTAACCATACAATTTTTTTTAGGGTTACTTGCTTTTCCAACCAGTTGCGAAAACAAGGACAGCACAGTTCTCGATAGTTCGAGAATGTATCACTTTGGTCTTAGGGTCAGTGATCAATCCTGTGACATAACAAGATAACTGACTGGCGTCTACACTTTCGGTGGAAGCATACTTGTTCCAGTTGCGATATAAAAGTCCTAGAAAATGGGATAATTATGCATCCACCACGCGTAAAATAAAACAAAATAAAGGATGCATACACGGAAAACAATTTTCTTTTACATGCAATGTTTCATACATCAAATGTAATGGCAGTTCTGGCAATGAACTGCAGCGTACAAGCAAGTTTTTCCAGAATGCATACTTTTGTATAAAATCTTTATGAGATGATTTTCTAGATGCAATGTATTTAGGGAAACAAACTTTGTTTCTAAAATAAGCTAACATAAAAACTACAACATTATTTAACAACCTTCTGGCGACTACTTTACAGAATCTCTCCATGTCGCGGAACATTGCAAATTCTGTATACTTTTCATGCAGATCTGTAATAAACTCTCACATTTCTTGGATGGGTTCATCGGTCACGGTACGGTGAATTCGATTAATTCGAGCCATTTAGTAGAGGAACAACTCATTAGCATTCATTTAGTTTATTCATCTATCCTACAGACGTAAATTAAATTACTTTGATGCATATCCGTAAAAGGTACAGCTATTAATGATAATTATTGTGCTACATTACCTCGCATGTCGTTATCCCGATTGTCAATTTATCATATTGTTGAGCAGTTTTGAAACGACCAGCGATTAAAAAAAAGTAATAAATTCCAGACTTTTCTAGCTTTGAGTTTTATACGCATTAACGGCATCAGAATGTAAGTATCTATTAACATTTGTTTTGGCAGCTTAAACACTATTTAATTTTGGGCTAGCCTCCGGTTTGAAAATCTTGTCTAATATTCAAAGAAAACGATGCGCTTTTTCGGTGGTCTTATTGCGCCAAAGTATACCTTAACACTCCGAACACGATGCCTTCGGTAAAATGTGTTACGGCATGTTTGCAATGTTCGAAAAATTAAAGCATAGCCATATATTGACAAATTTCAAATTTATTGGCGCCATTTGAAACTACAGACTTTAAAGATTCATTCGGTATCCACGAATTTAAAATCCATCGATAAATATCTGAGCAATGATTTTTCAAACATTGCCAATTTTCCGTTACATATTTTACTGGAGACATCGTGTTCGGAGTATTTATAATCCATCTTAAAGATTAATGAGAAAGATTTTGAATTACGGTTATGAAAAATTATTGAAAGATAAAAGTTTGATGCGTGGAAGGGCTGACAAAATCGAGTCATTAATGTATATCACAATGGCCATTTCGTTGCGAGATAAAGCGGTACATATGCTATTCCTATAATTCAAACCAACATATTGTTTTAAAACCATACAATACGGGTAATTTTGGACTAAGTTTGATGCGTAGAGATTAGAATTCATCTTAGTTCAGGATTCTTCCACCGTGCGGCGCTGTGAACTTCCTGTAAAAGCTATATCTTAAAATCATTATAATTTAGGAAATTGCTGTCTTTAGCAAAGTAGCTCAGGTGACCCTTTTACATAATAAACAGATAAGTTCAAAATTGTAGCACTGGATCGAGGTGTAGAGGCTGATAATCGATACCTGACAACAGGGATGGAACGCTTTTTGCTTTCTAATATAGGAAGTTAAGTAAAATCGAATTTTCAGTAGATTCATCTTAAAATACATAGAATAAAGCTAATAATCACTCAATCAAACTTCAACATTTTCTCACCGTAGATCCAACTCCGTGTTTCCGCAAAATGTACACTCGAGTGTGCACCCTGATGTATCTTCATTCTGTGAAACACCAGTTTGGTCGGGAGCATACTAGCTTTAATCTGGCAAACATAGGGTTGCATTTATGTACAAACTTAAAAATGATTTATAACGCTTCTTAAAAAAAACATCCATAACACCTCGGTAAAAATCCTTAAACAAGTGTGAATGGTTCATAAAAAAATATCAATATTATCCATATTTTATGTAAAATTTAGCAACACAATTTAACACATGTACTGCTAATTTTCTCAAGAATGAGAATAGAAATTGTACGAATTACCCATAAACACATTGCAAATGATCCATAACACGTTCAACAATGAACCTTAAACTAACGAAATTGATCCATAGAAAATTATGTTTGCGCAGTAAAAAGTTTAAGTATGACTCATATATTAGACATAATATTAAATGTTTCATGTTTTGGACACTCAATTTATAATTTTGATCCATAAATAGAAAAAAAATGCACCAGTGCTGACCCGACCAATGAAATGTAATATTAACATGATGCCTCCCATAAAATGTGTAACGGCAAATTGGCAATGTTTGAAATATCGTTGCTCACCAATTTATCGAAAAATCTATTGATACCGAATAAATCCTTTAAGGTTCAATTTACTTTGATGCATTTTTTAAAAATTCAAAAGCAGTTTTTTTCGACGCATTATTTTAGATTGCTAAAAGGTCGCGTCATTTTGTGTAAAATATCAAAAGGAATCGAATAGTGTGAGCTTTTTTCAATCTGAAATATTGCGTCGGAAAAAACTGCTCTTGAAATTTTCCAAAAAGCATCAAAGTAAATTGAACCTTAAGTATGCAGTTTCAAATGGCAGCCATTAGTTTGAAATTCGTCGATAAATGGCTGAGCTATGATTTATCAAACATTGGAGGTTTTCCGTTACACATTTTACCGGAGGCATCGTGTTCGGAGTGTTAACCCAACTTTGTTACACATTACATGTCACATGAAACAAGTTACATGCAAATGTATGTGGCATATTACATGTTAGATGTAACATGATCGAAGTCCGTAGTTTTAACATATAATATGAAAGTAGTTGTCTATTGATAGCGCATTTTAATAAATTTGAGATAGAGATGGCCGCGAGATAGCCGCTACGGCAAATGCATAGGAAAAATATCACGCGCAAAATAAACTATTGTCACTCAGATGACCTAGTGTGCTCACTTTTCACTACTGTAGTCACTCAAAAATAACATTATGTTAACTATTATCAAATTCATATAGTTTAAAAAAAATGTTGGTGAATCTGTAATATTAACAGATAAAGTGGCCGAAACGTTAAAGCAAATTTTGCTGCGATTTAATTCATGATGACGGTCAAGTAGCCGGCAATGTTGGATTTATCATGCAATATCTCAAAATTGGATTAAAATTAATACTAATAACTGCTCGTTAAAACTTTGACCCACATTTCAAAAGCTGTTTCACTAAATTTTAATTTTAATTTTAAAACACTATTGTCAGCCTTGTTTAAATAATCGAGGCTTACTATCGTGGTGGAGTTTTTCATAATTTGAAATCTTAAAACTAAAACATTAAAATGCCTGATTTTACAGTTCAGCTGTTAAAATTTCGTTAAAAATTAACGAAGTCGGTAATCATTTCTAAGTATGACATATTATGGTATCCTTACTACAGATGCCTCAGTATGAAGTAATCCGACAAAAATCAATCCGCTATGTAAGATTTTTGATTGAATATCAAATTCGGAATCCAGCCAACTTAAAGTTTTTTAATTACTTGTTTACCGATATTTTTAATAGATAATTATTGGAAGCAACAGTATAAAAGGGATATTTCTTATATTTAAATACATAGTGCTTATTTTAATTGTTTATCTGACAGTTATAGAGCTAAATATTCAAATAAAACAAAGGGTTATTGACGATCGCTAGGAAATGTTATTTAGCATTCAACGATTTGCCTTCATGATGGGAACACTGAGCATATACAACCTGCAGACAAAACCAACAATCAAGAAATTCGTTACCAAACCACGAAATGCATACCTGTCTTCTGAAAGCATGTTTATCCTTTTCGAGAAACTTATCAATCTCGCGAGATTTGTAGCGCTGTTCGAGCTCCTCCGGGCTAACCCGCAGCCGTAGCAAGTATCCAAAAAAATCTCCACAGCAGGACCGTGAACAAGAAAGCTTCGATAAGACGCCTTCACCGGCTCCTCCACGCCTTCGGTTATTCGCTGTCGCCATTTTTACAACGCATCACATATCATCATCACCAGCAGCAGATCTGCATCATCATAAAAAAATAAAACACTGCTACTGGTGCCTCTGCTGCGGCCACCAGCTTGGGCCCTACAGGAAATTCACCTCTCACTACTAGTGAGATTAATCTTAATCACTCAGCGGCGACGATGCTTCGAGCAAATCAAAACAAAACAACAATCGAGCAGCCGCACCTCGAAACTCGAGCACTGATCTCACTCTCCACACGATTTCGAGCTGTTTCGCTCTCCCCCACACGCACACAAGCATAAGCTTTTATCACTGCACTGTTGTGTTTCGACACTCTGGGAAATCTTCTCGTGCCTCTTTGGTGTGTGGTTGATCTCCAACCCAGCACACTAACACACCGCTGGTTACAAAAAACACACCCGTGCAAAGAAACGAATCCAAGAAACGTCACTCTCGCGAAAGGAAACCCGTCGTCGTCGAACGGAAAAAAAGAACTCGGTGAGCAATTTTGTTGCACTGAATTTCCACCGGAAATCAACCGGGAATATACGAATTTCACCACACCGAACTTCGTAACACGTTCGGAAGCACTTTTGCTACACTTTCGATATGAATTTCGGTCGAAAACACGTCAATTTTTGCGAAAATAGTTGAGAGCAAACCAACATCAACACCGACCGTGCCGAGCTCTTTCACGTATACTAACCGAAGCAGTGCTCGATTCGAAGCTGCTTGCTGCTGCTGGGCCGATGGTGACTTTCGAGCACACAGGGGTTCATCGTTGTGTGAATCGGACGCAAGAGGGAGAGAATGAACCCTCGGGGGTGTGCACAGATGTGTTGGTGAATTGGGCATAACATTTATTTATCGCACGTACACTTTCTTCCCACATCACTATAGTCGCAAAATGTTTGTTTTCATCAGTAAATTGCACAGCGAAAATTTTCCGAATAAAATCAATGCACTTACACAACCGCTCTTCGGATATTCGAACGAATGAACCGCTCGAATGTGAGATTTATGATAGGAGATGGATTCTGCGGCTTGAAGCAACAGTGAATAGTCGATGATTTGAACACTGCCGTGTAAAATCCTAATCGTTTGCGAATCAGAATATTACTTGATACGAAATATTAGAAGAATCGGTATTCTACGTTGGTATTTTATTTTTGTTAAATGGTAATTTAACCATGTTTATGCTGATTCCCCGGTACGGTCTGCCTGTATTCATTCGGGCATTGTCGCTTGTCGCATTCAATCTATTTCCACCCACTTGACGACAATGAACAGAGAATGAAATTCTAATCGGTGTATGTATGCTACCGTCTCGTGATCCTCTCTCGCATAAACATAAACAGCCAGCTACCAGCGCTCATCAGCTCAGCAACAGTGCTCTTCTGTAGCAGGGGGTAGTGCGTTTGTGTGGGAATTGTGTGCAAAAAGAACTTAGGTACCTACCAGCATGCTATGTTATTGTTGTTCTTCCTTCGCCGAATTTATTCACGCTGCTTTGAGTCGATCCTCTTGGCGTGGTCTATCCCGCCCGAATCGGAAGATTAAGCAGAGCATGATTCTGAAAGAGCAGAAAGCGAAGGAAGAGCTAGACGACGACAAATACAACGAGGGAAAAGCTGCATAAAATTCACCTACCATCGACGAAGGATGAGTGCAAGCGCCTTTTATGCTTTTATGGTTATTGTTTTTCCTGTACTGCTGGCTCAGATGTCGATGTCGTCGCTCTTCGCAATAAGGTAGACGATCGTCGAAAAATGGCTAAACAGAGACATAAAGGCAGAAGATGGAGAAAGCGGTTTTTTGGATATTATTTTTTATTTTTTGCTCCTTTGGATGGTCTCATCTTCAGTCGCTAAGCATGGATGAGGAACAGATTGTAGTTTAGGCAGTATGTGGATAGGTAGGTGGCTGAGCTTTTTTTTTTCGTATCCTTGTGTCGTGCTTTTTACCGGGAATCTCACAAACGACGGTTTGGGTTCAGAGGTGGGTCAGGTAAAATGATTTGTTATTCCAGCAGTTTTTTTTTTAGTCTGAACTGAAGTATCGTGCGGTAGACGGTTGGGTCTCGACGTTGTGTGATTGAGACTGAGAAAAAAAGAACAAAATCACGTTTAGGCAATTACAGATAATGAGGATTTTGTGCGAAAATCCCCGTAAAATACTTTCGTTTTTCTTACTACATGCGTTACAAAGGAAGTATACCAGCTTAGGCTACCGAGAAAACTAGACTTGAAGTTTTATGTTTATTTTAAGGTATTTCTGATGATTTACATTTAGCCTCTATGGAAATTTTCATTTAAATATATGAAGCGTATCACGTAACACAAATTTCTTTGGGTGATGGAGCCAGATAGTTTGCCTGATAAGACTGATGTCATCTATGTTGCTTCTTTCAATGCACTGGTTAGGACTTCTGATAAAGTTTATTTACGAATTTGAAAAATGAGCTGATCAGAATCGTCAATTCTGCTCAAAAATTCGTACCAACAAGCCAACCAAAAATTGGTAAAACTTTGTTAAAATTGCATCCTTTTCATTAAGGTAAACTGGGAGACGGATAACATATGTAAAGTTAGTCTATGTTTTTACTGAGTTAGACGATGCTATAACCATTTTGTCAGTTGCCTGTCCATTTTAGGGTTTTTATGGTGAATTTGGCGTTTTCTGAATATTCTGGCATTTTTAAAGATCATGATTGATCCCATTTTTACAATTTTGAGGTGATTTTGGAGTATCCATTGAAATCCATTTTTATACCGAAGAGAAGAACCTGCCTCAGACTGAAAATCTCACAAAAGACAATGACATCTTTATGTCGCTAAAATGGCCCCTCAAAACTTAAGCTAAATGACCTGTAAATCGTTAATAAGGACTTAAATCGCCAAAATAGTTGAAAAAGTTGTAATTGAAACGCTAAATGATGATGAAGATAGTGGTCTACACTCATTGTAGCACGGAATCTAGTCCGATGGCTGTGGGCTCCTCGTTATTGAACTTTTTTTTTTTTCCTTTGTTCGGGACTTAACACTACTGCGACCAGTAAATTGATCTATTGTAGTATATCCCGTGTCCTTAGTTTAGTGCATGTCGTATTACTCCATCACTATTGAGAAATGATGAAGTATTCGATTTTTTTACAGTTGCCACTCTTGCATTTATCGCAAGGATCCGATTCTAATTGAAAGGTCCCGCTATTTATACCCTTCGGAGTGTTGAAACACCCTCCAAAGGCGCGCCCCTTTGTCAGTCAAAATTGGATTCCTTAGCAACAAAATTAAGGTATGACACCGATAATGACCATGCATCAGAACCCTAGTCTTAGCCACTTCAAACTAGGGAACAACGAATAGAAGATTAGGAATCACATAGATGAAGACAACTAACTCATTTTTTTTCCTTGTTTCAAGATCATCCTCGGTAGACAAAGCCGAGTCTTGTCACTATCAAACAAGGCATAAAAAGTAACAAGGACTAAGATGTGTTCCTTGGATTACTAAAAAATGCTGTTCCCCTAGTTTGAAGTAGTCAGGACTAGGAATCGGTGGTAGATCTTACATCCCGTAACGTACCACGAAAAGGTGATCTACCCACGTTACGGGGCGTTATTGAACTTGATCAAGCTAAATAACCTCTGATTGACATCAGCAAATCGCTGTATTAAGGGCCAAAAATGAATGGATGGATTGATCGGCAATTCGCCTATTCATTTACTTGGGGCAGTAAAGAATCTCCTTCCAATCAATTGGTCAGAAAACGAGCCATCTAACAGGAAGATGCCCCAATGAATGGGAAGAGAGCCAGCTCTTTATCCACAAAATGTTAGCAACAGGAAGTGGACATTTTCACTTTCCCCATTAAAATCGCTTCAATTGGGTGCCTTGATGGTCCTTCCCCTTCCCAACATTTATTGGTTCATGTAGTATTAAATTAATATTTTTATATGCAAATGCTATAATTTTATAATTACAGTGACTTACCTTTGATGATGTACATACACTCCCGATCATAAGTTTAAGGACACCCCCAAGAAAACATGACAAATTTGTTATGTTCATATCTGTCATGTTACGTCCAATTTTCGTTCTCTTTAGATCATTTGAAAGGTATTGAATGGAACTTTCCTCGTAGGCAAATTGTTCAATATAATTTTCAAATTGTGTGTGCAAAAAGTTCACCCAAAGTTACAATATTTTTCTAAATTTACTCTGAAGAATCGTGACTTATTTTCTCAGAATTGGGTTGGCCAAATTTTGAAATAAAAGTAGTAATAGAACACTTATGCTATACCATTCAAATAACCTTTGAAGATCGAAAATTGAAGGTAAAATGAGAGATTATTGAACAAAACATATTTGCATGGTTTTTTGGGGTGTCTTTAAACTTATGATCGGTAGTGTATACTTACCTATGATGATGATCTAATGCCGCCGGTGGTTGTTTCTTTTGAAATCTATTGTAATGTTTCTCTACCGCTTCGTATTTCATTCCGTGCTTCACCGGCAATTTCCTTCCGTAGATCGTCCTTGGTCGATTCTGACATGATTCCGCCTTTTCTGTTTTCTTTGATGGGTTTTTCTTGTTTTCCGAGGTGGTTAACTTCCATTCCTGATTTGACGTTGACTCCTTCTTCGCTGGTTGGTGTGTTAAGTCTCATATCCACATCATTGAATCAATGTTGAGATTAGTGTGTGATTGTGTTATATAGTTGTAATTGAAACGCTAAAACGCCATAATGGCCATCCAGTCTACTACATACTAAATTTGCCGTTAATACACTAAGCAGCAGCTTGAATAGACTAAATCCACTGAAATGACTTGAAAATCATCAACAAGTTCCTTCAACAACTTTAAGATAGACGTGCCCATGTTACAGTCGCTATAAACCAATGGAGATGCATGGTATGTAGTTTAGTCGTATAGGAGTATTGAGCGAAAACCCAAAACTTGATGACTTCAAAAAGTATAACTCAAAAAATAAATAAATAAAACACTTTGCCGATTTTTTTATACGTTGTATAAAAAAGTCTAATTATTTTAGCCAAATATAAAAACATGTCTACCATCCATAAACACCATACAAACAAATACAATCAATGTTTTCAATACAGAATCCCAATTTTAAATATCATTATATATTTTTTAAAGTACTTGTAGTTACCTTTCATTTGTTATTTTGATCTTTTAATTAGGCAAAGTGGTTCAAAAGTTATATTTTTTGGAAAATGTTATTTTTGAAAAAAATATTTTAAGACCACTTTAACCACCCTAATGACTCAATAAAAAATACGGGTTTGAAATTTTGCGATAAGGAACAAAACTACCTATTTTTGGCTGAAAATCTCCTTAATAAAGACAACCAATCAACCAACCAACCAAATTTAAAAAAAATCTGAGAACCACTATATCGTTTTGGTATGGAATTGTACTGAAGAGGATAGATTGATAGTTCCGCTAGAGTACGGCAGTGTGAAAATAGAACAGAAGTTGAAATTGAGCGAAGGGTCATAAATGCGACAATACTAATCAAACGCTCCTTTACCTAGCTCATACATTGATGGATGAGAGGATTTGAGGTATATCCTCAAATCCAGAGGTAAAAGAGTGCGCGTTTGACTTGCTAATATACTGTCTGTAGCTGTGGAATAGTTCTAGCGAAACAAATTC